GGAAGGGTTCCTTCCTTTTCTATTTCATGGAATAATTTGAGAATATTGGTATTAATTCTTCTTTGTAGGTCTTGTAGAACTCAGCTGTGAATCTGTCTGGTTCTCAGCTTTTCTTGGTTGGTAGGCATTTGATGACATCTTTTATTTCCTTGCTTGAAATTGATATGTTTAAATTGCGTATGACCTCTTGACTCAGTTTGGGGTGATCATATGCCTCTAGAAACTTATCAATGTATTCAAGGTTTTCTATTTTACTGGAGTATACATTTTCAAAGTAGTTTCTAATTGTCTTCTGTATTTCAATAGTGTTTGTCATGATACTTTCTTTATCATCATGAATTTTAGTAATTTGAGATTTTTCTCTCCTTCTTTTCATTAGGGTGGCTAAGGGTTTGTTAATTTAGTCAAAGAACCAGCTTTTTGTTTTGTCAATTTATTTATTTTTTTTAAAGAGAGGAGAGAGAGAGAGAGAGAATTTTTTAATATTTATTTTTTAGTTTTCGGTGGACACAACATCTTTATTTTAGTTTTATGTGATGCTGAGGATCGAACCCAGCGCTCTGCACATGCCAGGCGAGTGCACTACCACTTGAGCCACATCCCCAGCCCATCAATTTCTTACATTGTTTATTTTATTTCAATTTTGTTGATTTTTGCCTTGATTTTAATTATTTCCTACCTTCTTCTACTTTTGGTGTTGGCTTGTTCTCTTTTTTCTAGGGCTTTGAGATGTAATGTCAGGCCTTTTATTTGTTGACTTTTTCTTCTTTTAATGAATGAGCATTAATGAGTCCATTAATGCAATGAATCTTTCTCTTAGCACTGCCTTCATAGTATCCCAGGGATTTTTATAAGTTGTATCAGAGTTCTCATTGACCCCTAAAATTTTTTTTATCTCCTCTGTGATGTTTTTGTTATTCATGCAGCATTCAATAAGTATATTATTTAGTCTCCAGGTGCTGGAGTAGCTTCTATTTTTCATTTTACCATTTATTTCTAATTTTATTCCATTATGGTCAGATAAAATGCAGGGTAGTATCTCTACTTTTTTGTATTTGCTAAGAATTGCTTTAAGTCATATGGTATATTTTGGAGAAGGATCCATGTGCTGCTGAGAAGAAATTGTGTTTGTTCATTGATGGATGGAATATTCTATATATGTCGGTTAAGTATAAATTATTAATTGTTTTATAGAGTTCTGTAGTTTCTTTGTTTAGTTTTTGTTTGGAAGATCTATCCAGTGGTGAGAGAGGTGTATTAAAGTCACCCAATATTAGTGTGTTGTGGTCTATTTGATGCTTGTAGTTAAGATGGGTTTGTTTGATATACATAGGTGTTCAGTTGTTTTGGGGCATAGATATTTATGATTGTAATGTCTTGTTGATGTATGAATCCCTTAATCAGTATGAAATGTCCTTCTTTATCCTTTTTCACTAACTTTGGTTTGAAGTTCACTTTATCTAATATGAGGATGGAAACCCCTGCTTGTTTACGCAGTCCATGTGAATAGTATGCTTTTTCCCACCCTTTAACCTTCAGTCTGTGGATGTCTTTTCCTGTGAAATGAGTCTCTTGAAGGCAGAATATTGTTGGGTCTTTTTTTAAAAAAATCCAATCTGCCAGTCTATGTCTTTTAATTGATGAGTTTAGGCCATTCACATTCAGGGTTATTACTGTAATATGATTTGTATTCCTGGTCATTTGGGTTTATTTTTGGCTTTTAACTTGACTTGGTTTCTCCTTTGATCGGCCTTTCTTTTAGTGTAGTTCCTCCCTTTGCTGATTTTCATTGTTGTTTTCCATTTCGTCCCCCTGGAATATTTTGCTGAGAATGCTCTGTATACTGGCTTTCTTGCTGTAAATTCTTCTAACTTTTGTTTAGCATGAAAGGTTTTTATTTTGTAATTAAATCTAAAACTTAATTTTACTGGATATTAGATTCTTAGTTGGCATCCATTTTCTTTCAGAGCTTGGTATATGTTGTTCCAGGATTTCCTGCCTTTGAAGGTCTGGGTTTTAAAATCGGCTTAGATCCAAATTGGTCTCCTCTTTTATGTAATTTGATTCTTCTCTCATGGCTTTTAAGATTCTATCCTTATTCTGTATGCGAGGCATTTTCCTTATAATGTGCCTTGGTGTAGATCTGTTGTAATTTTGTACATTTGATGTCCTATAAGCGCCTCTTATATTTGAATTTCCAATTCATTCTTCATGTTTGGGAAATTTTCTGATATTATTTCATTGAAGAGATTGTGCATTCCTTTGGTTTGAATCTCTGTGCCTTCATCTAACCCAATAAATTTTCAGGATTGTATATTTTGTCTTCATTATCTGACATTCTGTCTTCCAAGTGATCCAGTCTACTGGTGATGCTTTCTTTTGAGTTTTTTATTGGGTTTATTGTTTCCTTCATTTCAAGGATTTCTGATTGATTTTTTTTCCAAAATCTCTCTTTCTTGAAGTAATCTTTTGCCACCTGTATTTGCTCCCTTTACCCTTTGTTGGTGTGATCAATGGATGCCTGCATTTGCTCTTTATCTCTTTGTCAGAGTAATTAAATTTTGCCTGTCTTTTCTCTTTTATGTCATTCTTTAATTCACAGGTCATTTTAATTATGTACATTCTGAACTCCTTCTCTGACATTTCATCAACTGTTCTGTCAATGGATTCTATTGTTGTAGTATCCTGGTTTGTTTGGGGAACTTTCTTCCTTTGTTTTATTTCGTGTTGTCTATGTGTCGTCCTTTCTTGCAGTGCAGATCTGAGATATTACAGTTTCTAACCTACAATCTGGTAGTGTCCATGCAGATCACCTGTACCTCACTTTGGTATTGCGCTTCCAGTCCCCAGCCCATGTCCCCAGATGGACGCTACTGAAACTAAAGGTGGTGGCAGCAATAGCAGTGGTAACTCAAGATGGCAGTGGGGGTGTCCCAAAATGGATGTTGGCAACCACTTCCAGAGATGGGGTCTAGGCTCCTGATTTGGCTGGTGGGTGGTCCTGGACCTGGGCTCCCTCACAGGTCCAAGCGACAGTCCTAGGCCAGGGCCTGGGCTCCAACATGGGTTTCTGTCAGCGGGTATGGTCCTGGGCCTGACCTGGGCCTGGGCTCCTGTCTACCTATTCTTGATGTAGCTATTTCTCTAGAATTGTGCCGTATCTGTATCTCCTCTCTCTTTTCCACTCATTTTTTTATGCTTTCACTCACTGTGTAACTTCAGTTATTTCCAAAATTTTGATGACCCTCAAATTCAAATTCAATTCGAATCCTTCCTGAGCAGTAGCCCAAATTTTCATTGGCCTAATAGACAGCGCCACCTTGTGGTCACCTGGGCACATCAGTCTTCTCTCTGCAGTTTTGACCTAAACATCTTCCCACTGCCTCCTCTTCCTCTTCCTCTTTCTCCAGTTGACTAAGACCAGAAACCTTCAAGTTTCCCCTAACCTATCCTTCACTTATTGCCTCTCTTCTCAGGCTCTGTCACTTCTCTCATCTGTCCCTGCCTCTTCACAGGGTTACTGCCTTTGGGCAGCCCGTAGGAGCTGAGCCTGGCTCCCCCACTGGCCTCTTGGCTGCTCTTCCCACTTCTGCTCTCCTGCCAGTGCACTGCATCCTACAGTCTGAGAAGTGAATCATCCAAAACCTCTGTAGCTGATCCCTCTCAAATGATAAAAAGCCTTCAAAGGCTTCCACTGCCCACACAATGAAACCCATATGCCTAATGCTGCATCATGTTGGGGTTGGCAAACATTTTCTGTACAGAGAGAAACAGTAAATATTTTCATCTTTGTGAACCACACAGTCTCTGTTACAGCTACTCCATGCTGCCCTTATAGCACAGTGGAAGCCAGAAACGGTAGGTAACTGAAGGGACATGATTGCATTAAATGAAATTTATATTTTATATTATCCTGAAATTTATATTTCATTTCATTTTCATAGGTCACAAAAGGATCAAAAGCAGTTTTGAATTTTTTAACCATTTAGAAATGTGGAAATATTCTTTGCTCGTGGTGTTTTGGCCAATGGGCTACAGCACACTACAGTGTGCATGCCCTGTTTTAAACAAGTCAGGCTATTCAAGATGGTTAGGCTGCCAACATAGCCTGCAGACATTGACCTTACAGGGAAAAGTGATTCTGTGAAGTCACTTCTCTTCAGACCCCCAATAGGTAAACCAGTCCCTGGCTTGCAGTGGCTCAGTCTGCTCCATGGCTTCATGCCCTTGAACTTTGCCTCCTAGTGAGATCCAGAGAGCTCCTTTGGTCAAGTCTATTGCCTAATAATCCAAATATGACTGTGGGTAGAGGTGGAATGCTGTTTCTTCCCTCTGGGACAAGAAGACAGGCAGCTTTGTTCCCCAGGTTGCTCACTCTGGGATGGCTGGGAGCTTTTGTTCCATGGAGATAAGAAGGAGTTTGGAGGAGACAGTTGGGGTGCATAAGGGTGGTCAGAGGGGGGTGGTTGCCACATGGTAGACTATGAGCCCTTCAAAAGAGGGGTCATGTTTAATACTTTCATGTATTCTTAGAACCTAGTCTTCTGGAAGCTCTCAGAGAATATTTACCCAACTCATCTGTTAGAAGAATATTTACCCAACTCATCTGTTAGAAGAACTGGTTTTTCCATACTCGTAGGTTAGGGAGTAAGAAGGGAAGGAAGGGGATGGCAGTGAATCCCAGCAATTAAGAAAGAACCTTGGAAAGACAGGGAAGGCAGCAGAGAGCAGGGTAAGGAAGGGGAGGGAGAAGACCAGCCTTCAGTCCCAAGCTGGCAACAGGACCAGCTGGGAGGTGATGGTGCCAGGGGCTGATGGGCCCATCACAATGGAGTTCTTGGGGGAGAGTCCCCACTGCCAGCAGAACCTCACATCCACAGAAGCTGTGTTCTGAGTGCTTATGACACGTTTTGCATCTCCAGTGTCTTCTATAACTTTAATGATTCTGGATTCTGCTTTTGATTTCTCAACCAGGGTCTCATAAGGGATAGGAAATCTACCTTCCTGTAGCCTTCCATCAGCCGCTGCAGCTCCCCCTGCAAAGATGGTTTTGACATAAATCCCAATGGGGCCATAAATGCTGTCCTTTCCCCCAACGATGCTGAAGCCGAGGCCCTGGGGAAAGAAGAGGAGAAGGTGGGATTCAGGAGGGTTTATGCTGCTCCCTGGGCAGATGTTTCTAGAGAGCATGCCTTGGCCTGAACCAAGGAGTCAGAAAGGGAGGAGGCACCTTTAGTCTCATATGTCTTTGGGATTAACAAAGGAATGGGAGGCTCAGTAGCATGCCATCCAGCTGGCCTGAATGGTGTCTGAAGTTCTCACATTAATCTGATGCTTCTGACACTAAAGGAGGCTGGGTGGGGATTAGACCCTAGCTCTCTACCTTTCCATTTGGTGACTGAGGTCGTATCACTTCTTGCTTGTCAGTCTCAATTTCCTTTTCTTTTTTTTAAATTTTATATTAGAGCATTATAATTATACATAATAGTGGAATTTGTTGTGGCATTCATCCATGCACACAACATACTTTGGTCAATTTCATTCCCCAGAACCTTCCTTTTCCTCCTTTCCTCCCTACTCCTGTTCCTTTCTCTTCTACTGGTCTCCCCATCTTTTTTCATGAAATTCCTTCCTCTCCTCCTTTTTTTCTCCTCCTGCTTTCACATAAGAAAAAAATATGTGTCCCTTGACTTTCTGAGTCTGGCTTGTTTTGTTTAAACACAATGCTTTCAAGTTCCATCCATTTTCCTGCAAATGACATAATTTCATTCTTCTTTATTGAACCTGAAGTTCCCTGTTGTAAAATGATGATGATGTTACCTAACCCACAGGTAGGTAATTCAAGCACAATGTGCTTCAAACAATATGCCTGGAAACAGCATTGAAGACATCAAGGACAATAGCAATAGCAGCAACTTACCATGGGAAAATTGTCCCTTCTCCTACCAAAGGCCCCCTTGTCCCCTTTCTGTTCTGCCTCCCACCCCTCTGCCTCTCAAGGACATCACTTCAGTCATGTGTTCTCCTGCCTGAACCTACACTGCTGTCTGCCCCATCGTTTTACCAGGTCATTCCCACAAGTTGACAAACACATCCTGGGATGTGCAGGTGGCTCTGGGAAGAACCTGGGGCCTAGCAGACATCTTCCAGGAGGCAGTGCAGAGAAGGTCAGGTGTAGGAGAAAGAAGGAGGGAATGAGGCCTACAGGAGGAAGAGAAAGGAGAGAAGGTTTGGCTTCCCCTACAGACCCACCAGGGAGGTAACCAAAAGACTAGGACAGACCCAGGGAGCAGCAAAGGAAATTCAAGCACAATGTGCTTCACTTTGCTAAAGAAAACTTCTTGGGCAGGCTTAGCTGATCCTCAAGGTACTTGTTTCCAGACTATGAACAATCTGAAGGCATAAAGTGAAGCTTATTTGTCAATGTCTGGCTTCTGGCAAGTGATCGAAACACACATCTTGAGGAATAAAGCCAGGTCTTTGGGTTCAACTCACCAGTGTACCAGGTCATGGCCAGTAGCTTGGCTCCTAGACACACTTAAAGTGAATGGAATAGCAGCACTGCTATTGGCAATTTATCTCTGTCCAGCAGCTGCTTGGAACTGATTAGTAGCATTCCTCCTGGACCATGGTGACGGTGGCCTGTTAACCATCTTCAAGATGCCACAGGCCATGAGGTGAGCCTGTACTTTCCAGGAAGGCCATTGGTCAGGGTGCTATTCAAAGCTTCTGGTGAAGGTGATGTGTGTTTCAGGATGACAGGGATAAAAACTACCCGGAGTAACACAGCTGACCCCAGCTTGATCCTGGTTGAAATTATTGCTCTGGACAGGATAATGGTGAGAATGGGACCCAGGGGTCAGGGAGTCCAGGGCCATTGCCTGAGTCAGTTGCTCGCTCACCATGTGACCTTGGACAGGCCCCATAACCTACCAGACCCTTAGTCTCCACTTCTATAAAAGGGAGATGCTAATGGGGTTGTTGTGGGGAGTCATGGGGTTCCCTCACAAAGCACTGAGCACAAGGCCTGGGTTTGGGTAGCTGGTTTTATTGTCTGACTTGATTCTGACTCTGCCTCCATCACCTACCTGTCTTTCTAGCTCTGATTCCTCCTCTCCTGATCTCAACTCCAGCCTCACCCCTACCTGTCATCCTTGCTATTGATGAGGTCATAGGTGTATAGACTGCATAGCTGGACATGGTAGGTCTCCCTCATTTCTGAATGTATTTCCTCTGCTTTGTTTTCCAGGCTTCTGACACCAAATAACATATCTTATCTCATCCTGGGGCTCCATAAAGAACATTTATTGAATGTTATTATACACCAGGATCATCTAAACCACTTTTGGTCATCTTTTCATGAGTTTAAATGCCCTTTTCCATTTTGCTTTCTTTTGAGCGTTACAAAAAAAATTAAAAATCAACTTTTCAAAAAGTACTTCTCTCTAAATTCAAGGAGAGAAAGTGTTGTGATTTGACTAATCAGAAGGTAAGGCTGTTCAGAGTAAACCACAGAGGAGATAGTTACTCCCTGGTGATCTGAGGGGCACTCATTCCAGGATTCCTCACATCTGACCTTTTTTGTTATTCTCTAAGCTCCCAGGAGTGAGAAGAAACTGGAGTCAGAGGGAAAGAGGAGTCCAGGTGTGTGGTGGAACTCTGCCCTTGAAAGACCATAAGCACTGCTTAAATCCCTTCCTCCCACCACACACCAAAACCATGTTAGATGGACTAAAGAAACCAGGCTTTCATTAGATCAGCACCTGGGCATCTTGGGTTAGTCTGAGAACTTCTATGCCTCTTCTAATTATTTTAGGAACATGTCAACCCCATACATGAGTATGTTTGGGGTCAGCACAAAGGAACATTTGGGATGCTCCTCCACCACCAACACTTCTGTTTCCCCTTTGATATTCCTCAATTATAGGGCAGAAATAAGCATGGTGCCTCAGCATTGATGGAGAGCTAAAGTCATTTTGGATACTCAGGAAGCTCCCACTAATACCAAAAAGCACCATAGACCGTGGAATTATCCACACATAGCTGGTGGTATACATATTTTTAAACTTGTATATGAGCCCAACTTTCTTCTTCCAACATCTGACTTGTAGAGGTGAAATTAGGACCCATAAATCTATGTAAAGGATTTAGGTTTATGCAACAGATAAAAAGAGGCCTGAAAAATATCATGCCAAGAATGAATTAGGGAATAAGCTTTGAAAGTGATAAGGCAGTGGGTGGAGAATGGTGTCCTCAATGAGAAAAAATGATCACTTCGTCTAATGAGAAGAATGTGTGTTGCTTGAAACTCAGCTGGCTCTGAGTTCAAAAGACAATTTTTCTGACTCATGGGGATGCCTGATTCGCCTGTTCCCATGAAGAAGTAACTCCTCAGGAGGTGCTGCTCCGGGACTCCCTGTTGGCAGTGGTCCTTGCTCACCTTGGCCTGGCCCTTCATCAGCACGATGTTGGAGATGACCGAAGCCTGGAGGCCCCCAGATGGCTGCCCAAGCTGAGCTGTGCTCAGTGACCGTGTTGGTCTCGAAGCGCTCTGCAACAAGGAACCAGGGCAGGCAGAGATGAACCATGTGGAACAACAGCACACACCTCCCAGGGAAGGCAGAAGACCCAGACAGGGACAGGAGCCAAGTCCCCTCTCTCCCCAGAGCCCACAGCACAAGAACTAGAACATGGTTAATGGAATCTGGCACTCTGGTGGGCAGGGGCTGGTCCCAGGAGCCCAAGGAGCCAGCTGTCCTCAGCCTGTCTCCCAGCAGCAAAGGCTTAAGGTCACAGACCACACTGCCCCAGGACAAGTCCCCAAAGCCAAGATCCAACTGGCAGGGATGCACTCTACAAATGGTATTCAATTCAAGAAACATTTACAGTAGGTACCGGGTAGTGGCCCAGAATGCAGAAACCCAAAGATTTATAAAGTTGGAATTTAAATTCTGGGGGAGGAAGACAGGTGGTTAGCTATGTGCACAGGATAAGCAAAGGATGCTATACAGAGGCATACTATGCCCCAGGGAGCTGCCCCAGAGAAGGCAGTACAGCTCGTGATTAAGAGGGTGCTCTGGAACCTCCTTGCCTGGATTCTTTTCATGGCTCAGTCAGTTATCAGCTGGTGACCCTAGGGAAGTAGCTTAGGCAACTGTCCCTCAGTTTCCTCCACTGTAAGATCATGGTTCTAACAGGGCCTGCCTAAAGGTGTTGTTTTGGAGACTAGTTCTAGGAAAGTGCTTAGAACATGCTTCATAGACGCTTCTTATTGCTACTGGCTTCTTTTAACCTTCTACGACCTAGAAAGACTCTTTGGGGCTTCCTGTATGTCGACCAAAGTGAACACAAGTTGCAAATATACCAGGCAGTTAAATGGTTCCAACTCACTGAGCTCTGGGATGCTGCAAGGTAGGACCAGGAGCCTGGGCTGCTGACTCCTGGACAGACTCTGTCCCCAGGGTACCTGGGCAGAGGAGGCAGGAGAGCCATGGAGGACAGCATGGGCTCTGAATCTGCCTGTCTTCACATCCTGCTGCTCCCCCACCCACTGATTAGGTCACCCAGGAACACCACTTAATTTCTCTGAGCCTTGGTTTTGTCACCTATAAATGATGGATATTAAAAGTACTGACCGGGGCTGGGGTTGTTGCTCCGTGGTAGAGCACTTGCCTGGCATGTGTGAGGCCCTGCGTTTGATCCTCAGTACCACATATAAACAAACAAATAAATAAATAAATAAAAGTCCTTTGACAACTAAAAAAAATATATTTTAAAAAACTGCTGACCTGTTTTGGTTGTACTCTCTTGGTTTTATACCTCTCTGAATGACAATTAAATAAAAGAATCTACATAAAACATGACTGACAGGTAGCAAACCTAGGATGCAGGTTTGCTCATTACTGTCACTGCCTGGACAAGCAGCTCATCATCTCTCAGTGCTCTTCTCTTGCTGGCTTGCAGCTGCCCACATATAGTTGGGTGAGCTCCCAAAAGGTACCCACCAAATAAGTCCTGTAGCCCTAAGCTCCTCCCAAGGCTGTGGGCCCCACTTTCCCTCCCTCCTTTCTAGAAGCAGCTCTTCTCCTCTCCATTGCCCTTGAGTGTTGGTTTGAAGACAAATGAACTGCATGTGGGCATCTGTAATAGCTAATTTTATGTGCTAACTTAACAAGGCCATGAGGTTTCCAGATATTTAGTCAAACATTCTTTTTTTTTTTTTTCAGTGCTGTGGATCAAACCAGGGCCTTACACATGATAGGCATGTATTTTACAAAGAAGCTACATTCCCAGCCCTTTTAAATCTTATTTTGAGCCAGAGTCTCAATAAGTTGCTAAGCTTATCTCAAACTTAAAATCCTCCTGCCTCAGTAGCTGGGATTTCAGGTACATGCCACCATATCTGGATTGTTCTGTGTGTTTTCAAGGGTGCTTTTGAATGAGATTAACATTTAAATCAGTAGACAAAGTAAATTACCTTTCCTGATGTGGATGGGCCTCAGCCAGTTAGTTGAAGGCCTGAATAGAGCAGAAGCCTGACACTCTCTTAAGTAAGAGATTCCATCCTGCCTGACCACCTACAACCTGTGGCAGCTCACCTCCTGCCCTTAGATTCCAGCTGAAATATTGGTTCTTCCTGGGTCTTAAACCTGCAGAACTTCAGTCAGAAACTATACCATCAGTCCCCTGGGTCTCAGACCTCTGAACTTGGACTTGAACTAAACCTTTAGCTCTTCTTGTCCTCATAATGCCTTATGGGTCTCCAGCTTGCTAATTCATCCTGAAGATCTTGAGATTCACCCACCTCCATACTTACGTGGCCCATTATGATAGATAGATAGATACATAGATAGATGGATGATAGGGCCCCTGGATGCTTTGGATTAAACATTAAGGGGTTAGATGTGGCCCTTTTGATGCTCTTCAACACATCCTTCCAGATAGCTTCTACCAACTGACCTGTAGCCCATCCATACTGGCCAGATGAGCCTGTTTCCAGAGACTAGAACCCTAAAGTATGAGCCATCAAAGATAAGAGGCCAACTTCTCAGGAAGTGCCTCCCTATCAGTATCCCAAGCCTTAAGGACAAGTACTGGCTGCAGATGTTAGATTTTAGATGGCTCCAGTGGGCTTCCAGAAACTCAGGGGTTGAGAGAGATCTCAGCTCAGGGAGTCACTTTGAAAGCATCTTCTTCTGACACTGGGACACCAACATGGCCAGTTTGCAAGTGAAAAATAATGATCTAAGGAAGGGAAGGGAAAATAGAAATAAAATTTACTGAGCATCTACCATGTACCATGCAAGGAATCAAACAAATTGGACTTTGGAGCCCATCTTTGGAGAGCCCATGGTCAGCTGGGAGGTCAGGCACTAAAACAAATGGCACTAACAAGCCAAGCTGGTAAACACTGTGAGAGAGATACAGGCACCTCTTGATGAGCATTTAAAAAGATCATGAGCCCATGCAGCTGGGGGTACCTGGAATGCTTCCAGGCAGGGGAGGTGTTGGGAAGGTTTGGGGACAACATTTCTAGTAACAGAGATGAGAGAAGGGACAAGACACTACAGACAGAGGACACTGTGTGATATGAGTGGCAGCATGAGTCACTGAGAAAATGCTCAGGGAAAGGACAGGAGGGGGCATCACAGGCAGGAGGGAGTGGCATGTGCAGAGGACACTGTGCTTTGTGTCTGTTCAGCTCCCAATCTGCAAGCTGATGTCCTGTAGATGAGAAGGACATGGCCTGCCACACCTGTTTGCACACTGTGAAATGGGTCTAATCATGTGTTCCTTTCTCAGCTTGTTTGAAGAATAGTGACAATGTTTATAAGGTAATCCTAATCATAGGATGCATAGGCTTTGGAGTCATAAAGCTGACTTCAAGTCCCAGCCCTGTTACTTATTAGCAGTGTGAACTTGCATAAATTCCTTAACCTGTCCAAGCTGCAGTCCCCTGGCCTACCGCTGCGGATTATTGTGCGGATGAAACAAAGGGGTCCACATAATGCCTTATGAGCCTGCACATAAGGAGTTTTACTACCTATTGCTTCCTAATTGCATAGAAGTGGCTGCAGTTACAAGTTCTTGGCACGAGAGGGCGCTCAATAGATGTCCATTCCTACTGTGGTTCTTTGCCTAATGTGATTCAAGACCCTCTTCTGGGCAGGACACAGGACACAGGACTTTTGGGAAAATTTCCTCAGCCACTACTAACATTGGCCCCTCCCTTTCCTCCCAATTCCCCAGCTTCCCCTCCCTTTCTTCTTACCGCAGCCTTTCCTGCTGGACAGTCCAGTTGTTGAGAGAGGGATTTCCGGCTACTACACAGAGAATAAGGCTGTCTATCAGTGGAAGCTGCAGATTTCTTGGTCATTGGAAAATCAATTTCTCCTGTGCAATAGGGATTAACACCTAAACCAAGAGAGGAAAAGCAGGCAGAGATCATTTGTGTTCTCAAGATGAAAAGCTCCATAAGGAACAAAATCAGCCCCCACCGAACCCTCATTAGCCAGGGCTGATGCAAACATAAACCCTTTAGCATCCGGTAACAGGTGCACGATGGGGAGAGACGGCTGTTGAAGACCTGGGTGGCATTTTTATTCTCTCTGTTCGTGCACCCCTTATTGCAGATCAACTCTGCAAGAGTTCACATGCATCTCCTGCACGTCAAGCAGCAAGGAGAGAGAGGAAAAAAGCCCCAAGTGTCCCCAGGACAGGTGGAACTGAACCAAGGGCGACAAAGGGGAAGACCAGGCAGGGACGGGGAGGATCAGGGGATCCTCCAACCTCCCAAACAAGTCATCTACTTCTTATACACGAATTCACACACAGGTATGTGCACACCTCCCACAAAGAGGCGACTCAAATCTTTGGGATCTAAGAAAATGCAAAGAATTCCGCTTCCTCTTCTTCATGGGAATTCCAGACTTCATTTCGCCCAACCAGGAACTCACTGCATACAACTGCATACAGTTGGAAAACCCTCACAGATTATCTGATTTAACCCACAATTGTCTGGAGCAGCACGACCCAGCTGAAATACAATTGAAATTTTTCTAGCAGCCATATTTTTAAAAATTAACAGAAACAGGTGATGCTAGGCACAGTGGCACACTCCTGTAATCATAACAATTTGGGAGGCTGAGGCAGGAGGATTGCAAGTTTGAGGTCACCCTCAGCAACTCAAAATTTGAACAATTTTTAAAAAGGGCTAAAAATATTTTTTTAAAAGGACGACTACAGCATCCCTCAAGTCAGCGGACAGGCCTATGTGGAAGATTCCCCCAAGGGAAAAATGAGATAAATGGTAGTTCAGAGAAAATAAAGAATGGACCAAGGTTTGGGGTTTGCTTTTATTTTTAGGATAGGAAAGACTTTAGGTTGCTTATAAGCTGAAGAGAGGAAGCCACTAGCCAGGGTAGGTTGAGAAAAAAAGAGGAGAGAATGAGCATGACAGAATGTGAGATGCCAAAAGGGAAGTGACAAAAGGGATGGAGGAGTGATGGAAAAGGGAGATTCTTGGTCCATCAGGGCTCCAAGAGTGACGGAGGAAACATTTCCCTGCCAGGACAGCTGCTCCCAGCAGTGGCTTCAGTACAGGTAGGTGGTCAGTGTATCCCAGTGGACCAAGAGAGAGAAGAAGCCAGATGATTTAGAAAACCACACTCTGGAAAGGGAGACACATCATTATGGGTCGGAGTTGGGAGGAGAGCCTGGGGATCTAATCCAAATTTTCCTGTGCGTCATATTTTTCTGGGTGTTTAATAAGAAGGCAGATTTCAGTGCCCTACTCAATCTACTGAGTTCATTCTCCACACTGGCATGGTCGGGGGCAACCTGTATGTTTGTCAGGCTCTCCAGATGATGCAGACAGCCATCATTAGTTTGGGGGGGGGGGGAACCTGGTGGAGTTTCCTCTCTTATGCATCAGTGAGGAAATGGAACCTCAGAGGGCTTCAGAGCAGCAAACAAAGAAGTCTGGATCATAATCCAGGCCTCCAGGATCCCAGTCACTCCATTTTTCTGACCATGGCAGTGCAAGGTTGACCTGCAGTTTGAAGAAGGACAGCACTGTGTGGTTTGGGTTCAGAGGAAATAAGGACATGCAAACAGGCTGCAACTTTGGAATGGCTCACAGAGTCAGTCAACTGCAGAGCGATGGGCAAATCCAGCACCAAGATGCTCAGGCCACACCCACCTCTGCTTGGGCCCTCTATGATCTAGGCAACCCTCATGCATGGGGGTGCAGGGGCTCCTGTTCCTGCTACGGGTTCAGATCTGCAGAGAAGCTTTCACATCAAAAAAAAAAAAAAAGATCAAAAAATTTGATGATATAAAGGTTAAGATATCTTAGGTTAAAAAAATTAAAATAACAACAAATTTGAAAAAGTATTTTAAGAAATATTACTGTGAAATATTAATTTAACCAAGAGGCTTTTTTAAAATGAATGAATGACAATAGAAAACTAGGCGAGCTCAGCAAAAACATATGTAATAAATATATGAAGAAGGTTTCGACCTCACCTGTGTGTGGAGGACCTCTTTTTGGTTTCCTTTATAAAGCAGTGCATCAGTCATGGTTTGAGCAAGATGCAAAAGACATACTGGGCTTGGATTTTGAGAATTAACAGAGGGGCAATTTACAGGGGTGGGCAGAGTTAGCAGACTAGCAAGGCCTCCTTAGGTACTGGAAGCTGTCAAGCCAGAGGACAGGAAAGAAATACCCCAGCAGCTCTCTTCCACCACCAGTATCCTGTGGAAGTCTCTCAGTGACTGAACTCAACCAGAAATCAGAGGGTGACTCTGTAGGAAGGGGTCAGGTCCCAGGGTACAAGCAGAGCTGGCTTCGTGGGCATGTAGCCTATGAGGCCACCAGGGTTGTAACTGGAAAAGTCCCAGCTTGGTTTAACACCAGGCTGCTGACATTTGGAAATTCTTAATCATTCTGAACAGGGCTCCCACATTATCTTTTTATACAGAGCCCCACAAATTGTATAACTGGTCCTGGGTGCAAAGCAAGACAGACAGAAACCCAAAATCGGTGGGGAGAAATGGGGACTAGAAAAGAATCTGCGTTACAATTATTTTTAAAAATTACAATCCAGTGTGGCCTGTGATTGAAGAAATAGGTATTCATATATATTGTTGAAGGAATATTAGTTACTAAAATTTGGCCATACAGATCTCAAGCTTAAAACTACACCTATTTTTGACCCTAAATTTCATTTCTAGGAAATTATACTAAAGGGAGAAAAAGTTAAAGTTTATAACTTAAAAAGTTTAAAATAGGATGTTATTAATTTAAGAATGTTGCACCCTACTGCAGAACAATATGAGACATGTTAGTCAGCTTCTCACTGTACATTACTATTTCATTCAGTAGTCAAAGAGCCTGAGAAGAACAACTTAGAGGAGGCCTCACAGTTCAGAGGTTCAGTCCATGGCTGGCCACTCCAGGGCTCTGGGCCTGAAGTGGTGAAGGAGCACCATGGCAGAGGGCATGGTAGGGGAAAGCTGCTGAGATCATGGCAGCCAGGATACAGTAGAGAAAGCCCAAGGAACCAGGGGCAAAATACAAACCCCAAAGGATGAAATATAAACCCCAGTGACCTTCATCTTCCAGTTATGTTTCACCTATCTACAATTATTTTTTTGTTTTAATTAGTTACACATGACCTACAATGACCTAGACATATCATACATTTGAATCACATGGGATACAATATCTCATTTTTCTGAGTATACAGGTTGCAGAATCACATTGGTCATGCAGTCACATATATACACACAGTAATAATAAAAATGTCTGCTTCATTCTACTATCCTTCCTATCTCCCCAGTCTCTCCCTTCCCATCACTTCTCTCTACCTAATCTAAGGTACTGCTATTCTTTTTTTTTCCTCACATATTCTTACGTGTATTTTGTATAACAATGAGCGTCTCCTTCCACCATCCATGCAATTCCCTTTCTCCCTTCCCTTTCCCTCCCAACCCTCTTCCCTATGTAGAGGAAATCTTTCCATGCTCTTCCTCTCTTCCCAATTTTGAGTCACCCCCCTTATATCAAAGAAGACATTCAGTATTTGTTTTTTGGGGATTGGCTAACTTCACTTAGCACAATCTGCTCTAATGCCATCCATTTCCCTGCAAATGCCATGATTTTATTATTTTTTAGTGCTGAGTAATATTCCATTGTGTATATATGCCACATTTTTTTTTATCCATTCATCCATTGAAGGCATCTAGGCTGGCTCCATAGTCTAGCTATTGTGATTTGTGCTGCTATAAACATTGATGTGGTTGTGTCCCTGTAGTGTGCTGTTTTTAGGTCTTTTGGGTATAGACCGGAAGAGGAATAGCTGGGTCAAATGGTGGTTCCATTTCCAGCTTTCCAAGGAATCTCCATACTACTTTCCAAATTGGATGCACCAGTTTGCAGTCCCACCAGCAGTGTATGAGTGTACCTTTCCCCCCGCATCCTCTCCAGCACTTGTTGTTTGTCTTCATCATGGCTTCCATTCTTACTGGAGTGAGATGGTATCTTAGAGTAGTTTTAATTTGTATTTCTCTGATTACTAGAGATGATGAGCATTTTTTTGTATATTTGTTTATTGATTGTATAGCCTCTTCTGAGAAGTGTCTGTTCAAGTCCTTAGCCCATTTGTTGATTGGGTTATTTGTTTTATTGGTGTTTAACTTTTTGAGTTCTTTGTATACCCTAGAGATTAGAGCTCTACCTGATGTATGAGGGGTAAAAATTTGTTCCCAGGATGTAGGCTCCCTATTCACCTCACATATTATTTCTCTTGCTGAGAAAAACCTTTTTAGTTTGAATTCATCCCATTTGTTAATTCTTGGTTTTAATTCTTGTGCTATAGGTGTCTTATTAAGGAAATTGAGGCCTAGCCCCATGTGATGGAGATTAGGGCCTACTTTTTCTTCTATTAGACGCAGAGTCTCTGGTTTGATTCCTAGATCCTTAATCCATTTTGAGTTAACTTTTGTGCATGGTGAGAAATAGGGATTCAATTTCATTTTGTTGCATATGGATTTCCAGATTTCCCAACACCATTTGTTGAAGATGTTATCCTTTCTCCAGTGCATGCTTTTAGCACCTTTGTCTAATATAAGGTAGTTGTAGTTTGGTTAGTCTCTGTGTCCTCTATTCTGTACCATTGGTCTACTAGCCTGTTTTGGTGCCAGTACCATGCTGTTTTTGTTACTATTGCTCTGTAGTACAGTTTAAGATGTGGTATAGTGATGCCACCTGTTTCACTCTTCCTGCTTAGAATTGCTTTAGCTATTCTGGGTCTCTTATTTTTTTCAGATGAATTTCATAATTGCTTTTTCTATTTCTGTGAGGAATGCCATTGGGACTTTAATTGGAATTGCATTGAATCTGTATAATGCTT